TTAATCAGCCAGCTCATACCTGTTTTCATCATATTCAAAAATAAATGATAAATCATAATTTATCATTGCACTAATAAAGTCAAAATAAAAACTTCTACAGCTACATATCCAACTTTTAGCTCACATTAGCTGAAAACCTCAAAGCAATAACAAAGCTTATTTAAAAACAAAAAAAAATAGAGCACCTACCACCAATACTATTATTGCAGTTACTAGCTGATACACGAAACTCATAACACACTTTAACTTCTAATAAAAAATGTATAACTATTAAGTAAATATTTCTCACTTTTTCACCATAACATTGTCATTTTAATTGGCTGGTTCAAACTTGTTTTAGGCTATAAGCAAAGAAATGTAACTCCTAATATAATATTTATAACTACTAGTTGAAAATTAATTACTTTTTACACAACAGAAAAAAACTAGCGAAGATTACATTCTCAAAATTCAATATACACACATAATAAGCCTTCAATCATATGACACCATCAAAATCATGTTTTAAAATTAAAGCCTTAAGTAAATAGTAGCAAAAAATACATACTAAAAGTCATGACATTGCATATAAAAGTTGACAAAACTTCTCCACTACTGTATCTTCTATGTTGACATCATTACCATTTTCTGTAACTAAACCTATAATTTTGACATTATTAAATGCAAAGGGCAGACTTGAAGATTCAAATTACCAATATAAACATTACAACAAACACTTGGTAGGCATAAGTTGATCAACAAATAACTCTTTTGGTACCCATATTATTATTATTGTGGAACTCTTTATGTAATTATAACTCTTTTGTCTATATATATATCTGCGAGGTCTTATGTTTATGCCCGGCCGGACATGGTTTAACGGAACGGTCACTGAGATTTAACGATCAAGCTCGTTGCTTATGTTTATGCCCGGCCGGACATGGTTAGTGCTTTAGTGACCACTCTTTCCATAATTAGTTATACGTATCTTTTAAAAATCTGGTGACTTCCATTTGTAATTTCTAACAATTAATTTTATTATTGTACTTTTTCCAGACTTGTATAATTTTTAGAGGAGTAAACTTTGAAGCTAGTTAACTTTTATATTACTATTTATTGATGCACGCCTTAATTTATGTTTTTTTAAAGGACTCCCAAACCATTTTTTTGTGTGTTAACTTTGAATGCATAATTTCTATTTCAAAAATTGACTTTCTTTAATTATCATTGAGACATAATTTGGGGACAAAAATTATGATTAAAGATACGCGTATGAGTATATCTTAATTACTGTATAAAAAGTTTCATTTTTATTCACTATTTTTTTATTTAGGTTACATATTCCAATGTTTCTTTAAATATATTTGGTGTGCACTTTTGGTTTTATGGATGTGCATTGTTAAATATTTGGTTTGAACTTTTAGTTGTATTGTTATTATTTATGTTGTTGAAGGTAAAATAAACTAAATCACACAATATACTTTCAAAAAAATTAAAACATAGAGTGCACAATATTTCAAATTAAGAATAAGTGTACACTTTTTTCACAAATGTAAATAAGTGCATAATAATATACTAAAAGTGCATATTTAATTTTGAGTACGTAAGTACACACATCTATAGTTTTGCGTAGTTTTGCAAATGTAAGTGCACTATTAGAATAATAAAAAAAAAAAAAGAGCACAAACATTATTTCTAAAAGTGCTATATATTTATAAATATGTAATTACACATCGATATTTGATAAAAGTGCATAAGTTTTGCAATATGAGTGCACCACATGAACAATAAAGTTGCACTTTCATTTTGTCATGTCTCAAGAAGAAAAAATACTAATACATAATTGTTAATTTATAACATGCAAAATAAGGATAATATGAGAATATCATCTGATGAAAGAAACGAGAATAATTCTGGAGTGTTGGATTTGGGTGTCGTGCATCATGCAAAACAAAAATGTGCATATAAAAAATTATAAAATGTGTCTTTCAACTGTGCAAAAGTTTAAACGTAAATGTGCACATTTGAATTTTGCATCACTTTAACTATAAATATGCATTTTCGTGCATGATAAAGTGCAACACTTTTGGAGCATTCTCATTTCTCGCGTGAAGGAGTATTCTCACTGGAACCGCATCCCAACATGCATATACTGTGATTAAGAACATATGTGTAAATACAAATGATAAATGTGCACAATACTATTTTTAAAAGTCTTCTTTACTTAGAAGTGTATGCTAGTTAATCATAAAAGTGCAGAATCTTTTTATACTAGTGCATATATAATGATACAATTAATGAGAAAATATAAATGACAAAAATACATTATTTTTGTATATGACTACACTCATATAGATTAATAATGCATTTGCATACTTTGGAATAAATTTTTCATAATGCAATTAAACTATTAGGACTATTAAAATATACCGTGGCATAAAGTATTACACGTGCATATTATTTTTATGCAAAGGTGCTTATACAAAATACTACTCCGTATAACCAAAAGACGATAAAGCAATACTTGTATAATAAATGATACTTGTATAATAAATGTTAATGTTTTTGTGTGATTGTTTCACACGGTTTGGTGTTTTCACTTTTCAGAATTCAGATCACCGCGGTAGATAGTGGGCTATTAATATTATCTAATTACATATGGTTTACTTTTTTCTGTTACGTTAACGTTAAGTCAGCCCGTTAGTTGTTCAAAGTTGTACCAAATTTCAATCATGCCACCGTTAAAAGCTTAATCAATACCGTAGAAATTTGATTTTAGATGGATGTGGTTTGTTCTTATTTCTCTCCTAACATATCATTCTCACTTGAACCTCACCCTATATATATATATATATATATATATATATATATATATATATATATATATATATATATATGAGTCCTTTTCCTGTCCAGCCGGGCCGGACAAAAGGTTCGTCCAGCCACCTTAATTTGAGGTGGTCCCCGGTGGTATTTTTGGCTCAAATTTTTTTATGTATGTTACTCCTCAAGTCTAGTTCATCCATACAAAATTTGAGCAAAAAATTCAATCGGGAAGGTCGTCAAATGATTTTTGCAACTTAACTGGTACGGAATATACATATAAAACGCAGTTAAGTTGCAAAAATCATTTGACAACCTTTTCGATTGAATTTTTTTCTCAAATTTGGTATGGATGAAATAGACTTGACGGGAAACATACACAAAAAAAATTGGGCGAAAAATACCACCGGGAACAACCTCAAATTGAGGTGGCCGGAGGGGGAGGTGGTCCGGCCTGGCCGGACCTGAATAATTCTATATATATATATATATATATATATATATATATATATATATATATATATATATATATATATATATATATATATAGAATACAAACTTTGAGATCACATACAAACTAGTCTTCCCATGCTAACCTACAAACTGTCACAAACTGTGCATCTTTACATTATTTGTACTGCATATTAAAGTTCAAAGTGTTGCATACTATTTGTATTGCATATTAAAGTTCAAAGTGCTGCACATTATTTGTATTGCATATTGAAATTCACAGTGTGCATCTTTACATTATTTGTACTGCATATTGATGTTCAAAGTGTTGCATATTATTGAGTTTGTACGTTAGTATTTTAAGCATGGTTTGTATTTGATCTCTTACCTATATATATATATATATATATATATATATATATATATATATATATATATATATATATATATATATATATATATATATATATATATATATATATATATATATATATATATATATATATATATATAGGGAGCAGATCAGATGAGAAGTGTTCTTAAGCTGAGAACTGCGAAGTTAAACTTATAGACTAAAAATAGGAACTTTTAACCAATAAATCATAACTGATAAACCCCTCGAAAATAATTACGAAAATGTCACCGCAAAAAAATAATTACGGAAACCTGGGAAAAATTTTGACGCGGTGGCATTTCCGTAATTATTATGGAGAGCTTTATAAGTTATGATTTATTGGTTATAAGTTCCTATATTTAGTCTATAAGATTACTTCATGTCAGGACCTCAAAAAACGGACCTCCGTACGGACCTCGGCGTTTAGGCCCCTTCCCGGTGGAATTTTTTGATGAAATTTTTTGAGCATGTTCTTCATCAAGTCTAGTTTACCCATACCAAATTTCAGCTAAATCGGGAAGGCAGTCAAATAATTTTTGGAAGTTAACTGCATTTTATATGTATATAAAGTGCCCAGTTAACTTCAAAAAATCATTTGACTGCCTTCCCGATGGAATTTTTAGCTGAAATTTGGTATGGGTAAACTAGACTTGATGAAGAACATGCTCAAAAAATTCCATCAAAAATTCCACCGAGAAGAGGCCCAAACGTCGAGGTCCGTACAGAGGTCCGTTTTTGGAGGTCCTGACAGGAAACTACTCTATACACACACACACACAGAGAGACAAACTTTCATGTCCAGTCGGCTTGACGGGAACCGCCATCCGGCCGAGGGCATTTCGGACCCTTCCCGGTTGAATTTTTTGATGAATTTTTTTAAGCATGTTCTATATCAAGTCTAGTTTACTCATACCAATAAAGAAGATGAGATGGGCTACTACTTTTATTTTCTAATTCTAAAATATAGAACTTGATCAAATAAAATAATAAACATTAAAAAATGAATCAAATCGAACTAAATTAAAACTAATACTTTTTCACTTTGGTAATCTGAATATCAAACCGAATCGAAACCGAACCGAAACACAAATGGTTTTAATTTGGTACAAAGAGTAAATCTAATTGTCCATCCCTAGAAATCTAGAATTAAGTCTGAACCGGTGGGCATAGCCCAACTGGTAGCGAGGGAATGCCACAAGGGTTAGGTCTCGGGTTCGAATCCCGGCAACTGCGATGGGGGGTTACTATGCTGAAAAATGCACAGGGCTTCTGCAAGTACCGGGGACAGAGTCTCACTCTCTATCTATCAGATTGTGATTATAGTCCAATTTACGTCCTTCCATCGTGTCGTCCAGTCGGTGTTGGGGGCCCTTAGGGTTGGGGTGTCATGCTTTTTTTCTAGAATTAAGTCTGAGATATTTGGGTCCACTTTTACCCGCAACTCGAGAGTCGAAGCCTTCTTCTTGGCTATCCGACCCTTGGCTGGCTTTGACAGAGGATTTCAATGCTCGTGTACGCTGAGTGAGAATGTGGTAAATCTGAAGAGATGGAATTCGTGAGCTGGAATCGGCCATCTCGTGAAGATCAAAAGAAATGTCTTGACAAGTACGAAAGCAATTTTGCAACGAACAGGAAGACTGACTCTTTCTTTATTACTGTATGTACTATCTATTCTATCCATGACTGCTTGCTCCAAATGTGTTTGGTCTCTCTGTGCGGACAGGTGCGCCACATTCAACTATGACGCTGAATACAGAGGAGCCACTGCGTATTCACTCAAACAAGATACAGAGCTTACCAAAAGGGGCTTCTTCCTTAACCATTCCCGTGTTCTAGTTGGTTCTGGATCTGCCGCTTTTGAAAAAGGCAAAAAAGCCCTTCAGACCTGGAGGTCAGTCTCTTCCTATTTTACACACTCCTTGAGATTTTCAGTTTTCAGCTTCAAAAAATTTGGAGAAGCAATTTAAATTTTGTGTGCCAAAAATTGCAGGCATTTCAGCCTGAACTGGACATTTGTGGATCCCAAGAGTAGAATCGGAGTTGGGGAGAAATTTTGTGTGTGCGTGAAGGAATTCTTGCCATGGGTTATGATGCCTTTACAAGTGCTGTATGTTCACGATCAAACCATAAACAAAGACAAAGGGATGATGGCCTCCTTCAGTTTTGGTAGTGGAACTCTTCAAGGCCACTTGTTGGTTTGTTCCCTATTCCAACCCTATCTTTTCTTAACTTAAACTTACTTTTTAGTGATCCTCTACTTGATCCTAATAATAATAATCACATGAATCATTTACAAAACATTTTAAAAACAACTTATTGAAAATAATACTAAACAATGAAATTTAAGTATCATATTATCTTTATTTTAGCTATTTTTGCCAAACCATAGCTTCTGCAGCTGTTTGTTTTAGTTATCAGCCTACTAGCTTGGCTAATTCATTCTTTAATTTAGTAGTGTTTGATAAAAATGTATATCATAGAAATGGACGTACTAAACCATATCAGGAAAAAAATGGTTTGGATCCCAAACCATAGAATGCCCTCAGCCACCCTTACTCAGTTACTCTTATAATGTTGGTGAACTTATGCTTGTTAGCACTCTCATAATGTTCGAATGTTCATACTTCCCCCAATATGTTTACCTTAACAGACCTTATCCTTGGAGTGGGTTTGAACTTCTTGGCAAGAAGGGAGAAGGGGCATCCCACCAAACCAAACCGCTAGTGCATGAACTCTCATAAGCAGTCTTTAGTCTTTAAATTTATTCATTTTCTAAACTTCAATTTAGCACGTCGCTTGGGAATAAATGAAGCCTAAAATATGCCTCATTGAGTTTTCTTTTCTTTTTTTTTTAAATAAATCTTTGGATGGACAGGCCGGGGAAGAGCGGTTCTCAATTTCTTTGGATGAGAATGACAAAGTTTGGTATGAAATACTCTCCATCTCCAAGCCTGCCCATTTTCTCTCTTTTGTGGGATACCCCTACGTACTACTTCGACAGAAATCATTTGCTCATCAATCAAGTAATGCTGTTAGAAAATACTTGGGACCTTGATTAGCTCCATCATATATATCTTTAATCTGCTCAGAGCCGTTTCTAATATAGTAATTGTACTTGAATTTCTTTCAATCTGACCCATGTACTATCATATTTTGTTCATTCTAGTGCAAACTGATTCTACTTTTAGTCTCGGGACAATTAGATGAGTCCTTTTTTTGGTTCTCAAGTTTCATTTTTCCACTTTTGGTTCCTTAAATATAGATTTATGGTCCTTTTGGCCACTTATATCCAATCAATTTCTGTAGAAATTCCTATTGATTTCCACCGAGAAAGTAGCCATAGTTGTATTGTACGTAGTAAATGGATATTTGTGGACATCTTAAAATCCAGATTTGTCAAAAAAAATCCATGAACATCCTCATTTCTTAAATCATCGACCTTTTTATGATAACTTCTTATTTACAGAAGTCTATAAACGTCTATAAACGTCTATAAACGTTATCATGAATGACATTTGTAGACTTTACAGAAAACAAGAGCTTAAACAATAACTATCTTTACTAACGATCTAAAAACATGACCAATCAAAATAAGTAGCACACAAGTGATCCAACAAATATGATACTCTCTGTACATAAGATTTGAACTCTTTTCAAAGAGGCCCAGGGTTTATCTGTGACAGATATCTCTTTTATGACTTTATCTTGACCAGTTCTGGTTGTTCATAGAAAACTAGGTAATGATCTTAAAGTAGAAAGAATTGGAGGACATGATTCTGCTACATATATTCTCTTATATACTGCTCTAATTACACAAAATAATGTGTGGTGTATAACGCTTAAAGCAGATATTGAAGTAGCAAAGCGATGATATAACGAGATGGTGACAAGATTGTTTTACAATAACATTCTAATAAAAAAAACCAATAACACTAGACTGTAATGGGGCGCGGATTGTAGCAAGAAGCGCCAAGGTGCTGTCATTATTCATTTATAAGGAATTGCCCTAAATGGGAGTTGACTAAAACATGGTTAAAATTCTAAAGTAGGACTATAAGTTTTATATTCCCCAAATAGCTATTCAGATTACATTATTATGAGCCTCCTCCTCCTCCATGTTATACATGAAGTCCCTTTATAAATCTGACATTCTCATCATCTCTCTTTATGTTGATGATTAAATTGTCACGCGAAATAACTTAAAATTAATTGAGGAATTGAAGAGATAGAGACATGATGAACACTTTTACAATGAGTGACTTAGAATTAATGCACTACTTCTTCAAGGGGAAATGACATCTTCTTATCTCAAGAAAATATATTAAAGGCACGCTACAGAAGTTCTAGATGCAAGACTGAAAACTCGTTGTTACTCCATTGATTTCAAATGAGAAATTAAAGAAAATAGACGGGTGAAAGAAAACCGATGCTACCAATTATCTAAGCATGATTGAGAGTCTACTTTACATAATGGCTACGAGGCCAGAAATCATGCATGTATGCTATAATTTTGCTCTCGAGGATCATGAAAAGTCGAACACAGTCTCACTAAATATGGAGCAACAAAGAGACTTAGGTTCTATAAGGGACAGTAAACCATGGCATTCGGTACTAAACAAGTTGTGACTCACAAATAACTGGATATAGCGACAGTGATTGGGTCGATTATCAAGATGACATGAAATGCACCTCCGGTTACACATTTAAGCTTGGTTTAAGATCTCCTGGGGATCAAAGAAGCATGATTCAGTTTCATAGTTATATGTAGAACCAACGTGCCAAGCTATATGATTAAAAAGAATATTACTCCCTCCATCTCATTCTAAGGTTTCTACTTTCCTTTCTTGGACGTTCCATATAAAGGTTCTTATTTCTATTTTAGAAAACAATTAACATTATTGAATGACAATTTAATAATCAAATATTAAAAAAATAACCTTATTTAATTATTATCTAAATAACCGTGCCATTTTACAATGAGAACCTTCAAGCGGGACGGAGGTAGTAGAAGATATGAGCGAATTGCAAAACTTTGCAACATAGATCTTTTGTGATGACAACTTAGCTATTTTGCAATCATACTAAGCACATCAATATCAAGTATCACTTCTTGAGAGATGTCCTAAGTAAAGGGGTATATTGAGATGAAATACTGCCCAACAGAGGAACAATTTGCAAATATTTTCACAAATGACGAGCCATGAGATAGATTCCAATTTCTGTAAAGAATGCTTGAAGTTACTGACACATGTTTGGCATATATTTTTAATTTTTTACAAATGACCAACCAAGAGATGGATTCCAATTCTTGTAAATAATGATGCATTTATGTAGAATATCCTATGTAAAAAAAGTTAGAGTTATTCTAAAAAAAATTGGAGTTATTCTTGAAAGTTAAAGCTAGAAATATTCTAGAAAATTCTCCACTAGAGAAATACTATAGTATTTGTTAGAGAAATATTCTAGAGAATATTCTAGAGAATTCTATAAAATAACTAGAGATATTTATAGATTACTCTAGATTTCTAGCATTTAGTAAGGATCTAGAATGACCCTCTAGCACCTATAAATATGACCCTTATACTCATTTGTTCACCAAACAAATTCAATATACACAACACACATACACTTAGTACCTCACTAAAATAACTTACTGTATTAATGCACCAATAATAACTTCCATTTTCAAAAAGTAATCACGCCCACAGAAACTATACTTGAAGAAAAAAATCATCTTCAGATTGTTAACCAGAATTCATTTATTATGCATACATTAAATAAAATAGAAGTAACAATGAAGTACTTGTATGAAATTGAGCCCACCAAAAGTCTTGTTCCTTAAAACGAATTTGTCCACTCTCAGGATCGTCTAAAGAGACAATCTGATGCACAACAAACGCCTTAGATTCCTCAATTCAAACGCCACATTTCAATCCAAAGCTTCTCCGATAGATGACCTTCAGACTTTTCAATCATTTTTTTTAATATCCCGGAGCATGTCACACGAGGTGGGGGAAGTGCCGGGGAACACATCCCAAATTTCTTAATAATATTTTGATGATACAAGGATTAAAAGGATACAAGGGAAAATAAAGATGAGATACAAATAAGGAGAGATGCATTAACAATTAAAGTTCTTTGTCAGAATTCCAACTTGAGCTGAGAGGTTGTTGTTGAATTTGTTGTGAAACTTAATCGCCTTCTGCAGGTATGGTTGATGTGTTTTGGCCGCTGGACGGGATGATTTATAGCGGTTGAGAGCTTCGTCCAGTTTTTGTGGTGAGTCGAATCTTGAGTCAACCGGGTATAAAAAGTAATCTGATTCATCTAGGAGTTTCAGTGTGTTGCTTCTTGTGACCATGGGGTGAGAGGTGTAGCACACCTCATACGGCTCATAGTATAGCTGTTTGTCTTGGTATTGTTGGTGTGGGTCTCTTCTGTTTGATTTTCCTGTTTCTAACCTGGGTGAATCCCTCCGGGCAATTCTCTGGTAATAGCTTCGGGTGGATCAGAAATATCATCTCCCATAGTGGAACTGTGATTTCTGTTGGCAACAGGGGCATCAATCATCTTATCATCACTAGGCCTTGTCAAGAGTTGATGAACAACACCAGCGGTTACTGCCTTACTAGAGGTAGCCACCGGGGTTCATCAACTTTAAACAGCATCAAAGCGCGTGGCAGAATCTGTGACATCTGAGATATCAAAAGCAGCAGTTTGGTGTAATAACATTGTAGTCAATAGATACACAATCTGTACAGGCAGCAACTGGGAATGAGGGGGTAAATTGAAGAATTTTTTTGGCCGCTATACCTTAAATGACTGCAGAAAACATCTAGAGCAAAAACATTTAGCAAATACGATTTATAAAACTGAATTTTCAGTAAACATAATTTAATAATATGCCAGAAAGCATAGAAAAAACTTTGCTATCGATATGATCGAGCATAGTCACAGTACATATGCCAAAGTAAATGAAGCCTTATCCGATGATTCCGATCCAAAGAAAGAACTTTATGCACCATCACTATTGCTAGATAAGTTAAAACGCGCAATGTTATTATTTCTTGCATTGAATTAATTGATATTCTTTAAATTAAAATCGTCTTTCCTGCTTTTGAAGTATCATCGATGACATAGTAAACATATAAATACCTAATTGTGGGGTTAAATTAAAGCTTGCGTTGGTATAGGTTGCTATCTTTAATTTGGGTAAATAACAATTAACAACAACAAAATTAGGAGATAGAGAATGAAAGCCCCGGTCTAAATTAAACTGACGCAATTATGATGAAATAAAGCAAAATGACTCACTAAACTGTCTGCGGTTCTTTGTTATGAAGCAGCAGTCAGTCAATACAATTTTGGACGCGATTTTCACTATGGGTGATCTGAAAAACAGTCTCTTTGTACTTTCGTACAAAGGGGTAAGACTGCGTACATCCGACCCCCCTTTACTCCCTTTTACTCCACCGCAGGTGGGAGCCTTTGCGGCACTAGGGTAAATGAAAATTAAAAAATGAAAGAGGCGGAGAGATGGATTTAGTTAGGGAATAGGTCGATTAGATCATGATGCATAGCATGTACATATCAAAGCCAAAATGCTATTAGGGATAGTGCACACATTTTGTATACACCCCTGGCTAATTGTCTGTCTACATAGACATTCAGAAATTGGCATTTTAGATCGACAACTAGAGAGGTATGCACAAAAGGTGTATAAAATAGAAGGAAGCGAATTAATACGATAGTATATACATACTATTAGTAGTAAAGTTATAATGAAGGATCGGAATGGAAGTGATGCGATGAAAAAGAACTGAGATATTGGCACGGCTCAATCAAAGCTGCTGCAACTATATTAACTAAATAATATAAGATCAGACTATATATAATTAATTCCAAGGCCGGCCGGCCGGCGGCGGCATGCATGGCTGCAAGTGCTAGCTGATCTGAGTGAACCAGGCCAATATCAAAGTTTCTGTTTCATATTTTTATGTAGTTGCTGGTCGATGAGCAGAAGGAAAGAAAGGGTAGATGTAGATCAGATGGATACAAGCCAAGTGATGAGAAAGACCTAAATAAATAGCATGCAATATATATAATCCATGTCATATATGAATACATTTTACCCTACATGCATATATGAATGCATATTAATTAAAAGCTGCCTGCTGCCGGCTGGTGTATGTGGGTTCGTATTTAATTTACAGATGCGCGCGGCATTAATGAATTGAATTAAAACTGGTGCGTGCAATTATTGTTATACCGAATTGAAGCCCAAACTAACAACAGATACACTCTCTACTTCCCACATGCATTTATTTCCATCTTTAATTTTATTTATTTTCTCTTTCTCATCAG